GCATAGCATATTCTTAGTAACATAAGAATGTTCATTACATCACTTGCTTTGAAAATGCTTTTTTATATTTTGTGTGGATCTACTGCAAGTTGCACATGATTGCTAGTCTCACATCAGGAAACTTTCATCTTGAGATATCAGTGACTTTAAGCAGGCAGTTTTTACCCTTACAACATCCATTAAATTTATGTTCAAATTTAAGATCAAGCTGGGAGTTAACTTTGACTTAAGAAAAAAAAAATCTGATTTTATTCAGCTATACTAATTATAGACAGTGGAACTAGTCTCACAAGGTCAGATGCTGTTAGCTGCTTTTGCAGAAATGGTCCCTGTGTGCAGTATTAATCAAGGTAGCTCCCTTCAGTGGAAAGAAGAAAACTTGGTTAAGCTTTCGCTGTGTAAGTGTCCCTGAGGGCTGTTCAAGGAGCAGGTTAAACCTTAGTGACGTGTTTGTGCTGCTGTAGCTTGTTCTCAGGTCTCTGGCTGTTTCTCAAGTGGTCAGTATGATTTCATGTTACTGAATAAGCTTAACCACGCAGACAGCTTTTTGAAAATCCTCTGAAGATTGTCTGACATCAGTTAAAATATTTGAACATAATTGAAGAGCTATTTTTGTCCAAGAAAAATTACAGTATTAGTACCCAGAAGAACGAACTGTTCAACTGACAAAATACGTTGTCAAGACCAGAAACTATCAAAAGCAGATAAAAACTAGAAATAAAAATTGCTTCTAGCTTTGTTTACTGAACAGTTGATAACTGTACTACAGGAATCTTGAGTATGAAAGTGTTTATTAGATCCCAATCCAAAGCTTTTCAGAATTTATTTCTGAATAATGTTTTTTACGAATTTTTATAAATGTGTCAAAGTTGCTCTGGAGTATTTTAATTTCTCTCTTATAAGAGGTACACTTACCCTGTTGAGTAAGGGTTATCCGAATTGCTTTAATTTCTAAAGCCTCTAAAAGTTGGTGAAAATGAACAGGCCTCCACTCTGGGCTATGTTGTCAAAGTTCTGCTTATGCGCTGAAATTATTCCAGAGGGAGGGAACCCTCCTCAGAGTTGAGAGATAAGAATTTAGGACATCTCACATGTAAGTGTTTGGGGAATACTAAGAACAGCACACATCATCTCTTAATTAGTTGTTTACCTGAAAAGAAGGTTCTAAACCAGGAGATTAAAAACATAGTGGAATCTGGGATGGTTTGGCCATCTGAGACTATTCCAGTATCAGAAATGGGAAACGTCTCTGAAAATACATAATCCTCTGAGTTTGGCTGGTCCTGTGACAGAGCTAGTGCTATTTTTCCAGATGTCTGACCATTGTTATTTTGTTTCATCACAGGGCTAGTATCCCCTTTCTGAGAAAAAGATTGGGTTTTTTTTTCCCTTGGCTTTTTTCCCACCATTTCTAATTGTAAGCAGGTAAACCAGTCAGTTAATTTGTTTCATCTGTCAATCTAGTGTTTGATTCTTTTTTCTCCTGCAATATTTGAGATTAATTTAGGAGTGCTGTTCTCAGGGTGATTCTAACAAAGTCTCTTTTCCACAGAGGTAAATGCTCTGAGGCAAAAGTATTGGGAAAATTTTAGTTAATACAGTGCAACCAAAATGTCAGGGTCTGAACAAGAATCATGGTGTCTATAAAGCGCTAAATAATCATGATCCCTTCTGAAAATGATAAGGCTTCTGGGAGGGCCAGTTTATTTAATTCCACACCTGAACAACTAGTTCATATAAGCGAGTCTTGGGGATATCTTCAAGTAAGTGACTGTATTTAGTTCATGTCTTCAGCCTGGGGCTGAGGTCCACTTACAGCTTCATATGGCTTAATATCACTTGAAAAAATAGGATTATTAGCTTTCCCATCCCTTAAATAACAAAGTTCAATCAGAACCCAAAAGCTGAAACTGAAAGAATTGAAAGAAAACTAAATAAAAAATAAAAAAACCCACCCCACTTTCACAATCATCACATCAAGCCCAATTACTAATGGTGTATGAATTTCCTTGAATTCTTCATTGCGTGGTTGCTTTTTAAAAAAGCTTTACAAGCAGTAAGTGTGCAGGTTTTTTTCCATTCCCCTCTACAGTAAGGTTATTTATTCTTCAGCTTCCGTAGCATCATCTTTGGTTTGCATTTTTCTGGAGACATGCTTCAAGAAACTATTGAAGAAAATGTCCAGGAGGCACTTTTTCCTGGTTTATCTGAGAAGGACAGAAGCAGAAAGCAAGTTCCATGTTCACAGTCCTTGTCAGATGTGAAACTTCTGAAATGTTGCATTTTCAGTGACCTGTCCTGGTTAAGCTTTCTTTCTTCTGTTCTAATAGGCTTATTCAAAGATATGCTGTTTGTCCTTCAGAGAGAATCTTTATTGGGAAAAGTGTCTGTGTGCATATCAAGTGTGTGCATGTGCTCTTCTATTTTATCAAGTACTTTATTTTAAGTATACTATGAAGAAGTAGAATTAATCATTAGCTTAATACAGTGCACTAATGCAATAAGTACAAAAGGTAATATGAACAGACTAGTGAGAGAGGCACAGATACAGTGATTTTATGGACAGTTGCATCTCAGGAAGTATGGCAGTTTCTGAGGTGTCACTGGCAGTTAATGGAGGCAGTCTAGGATTGAGCTCTGTACTTTTGAGAGATTGTATACTTAAGACAGCATTAGAATCAAGTTTGTGATAGTGCTGTTTTTTAAAGAGTAGCTTCCTTCATGTTGTCTAGCTAAATCTTACATTAGGCATCTCTACAGTTCAGTTATGTCAGATATATCTGTGCATATACTCAGCTCAGCTGTTAGAAGGCAGTACCTGCTCCAACTAAATGAAAAAAAAGGTATTTTTGCATGCTCCCTGTCTTCTTGCACTTTAGTGTCTGCATAGGGATATAGTTGACAGTATTTTCCTGCCTAAAGATAGGGGAATGGAAAAATGAAGTAGCAAAGGAAAGTTGGCATTGCTCTCCCTTCTTGCAGATCAGTCACCTTATAGGTAGACAGCCTTTAAAGCAAAATTTATCCCTTAAAATAAACTCCATTAAATAAAGAGGGGGATTCAAACAAGTTACTTGTTATATTTGCTAGGAATAAGTTTAAACTTGCTTCTATTTAACTGTTGGGTGGTTAGGTAGACACGTCTCAAGTGTCCAATAAATCTGGGGACATTTTGCTTATCTGTTGCTCCCATGTCTTAGTATCTTTATTTCTGTTATGCCTGTTCAAGTATAATCATTTTGTATCCCCAAAGTGATCTGGGGACTACAGACAGATACTGTTGTTGGACTTGACTCTAACTTATTCTACAAATGCCAGCCAGACATAGTGTTTTATGGCTGAAACCTCCTCTTTTAGACTTTGTCTCCTACTGTACTGGAATTTCCACTACAGCCACTATGTTTTCGTCTTTCTAGTGATACCCTTATAAAAATAAAAGGATAACTGAATGTTTGTTTTAAATAAATGGCAATAATGCAGTTATAGGCTTAACTTGTCATGAGTTTGAGAGATGCCTTTCAGGACAGTTGGAAACAATCCTGTTCATGGAAAGACTGGACAATTTACAGATTTGTGGATATAACCGCATTTACAGTGGTGCAAAATAGATGAAACTTGTGGTGTGAATGGTTCTCATGATCTGTGTTTGCAAAAAATTCTGTAGGGAGGAAAAGAGGTTTTTAAGTCACGAGTGAAAAATGGCCTGGTAGGTGTGAAAATCACCAAAGAGTCTCAAAATGTGTTGGTAATGGAAGCCTGTGGAGACATCTCTTTTGCTGGACATCAAGTCAATTATTTCCTTAAGGCTTTCTTCTCGTGTTCCTTTTGTGAGAGACAGTACAAAATTGAAAGATTATGCATTTGCAAGAGGATGTAGGACCTGGTCTCTTGATTTCTGTCTTCTGACAATTGGTAGATTTAATCAGTGATGGTAAAGACAGGACTCTACCGTGGTGCTTTAATTTCTGTGTAAATCATCTTAGCATTTTGTGCTCAACACCTAATAGATGGTGTTTCAGAGATTTCAGAAATGCTGTCAAATCACTGCTGATGAGAAGGATGTTTCTTACCTTACTTTCCTCCCGCTTACCTTTTACAAGCACCTGAGTTGGATCCTTGCACTTTCCCTTTTCCCTGGCCTGTAGATTATTCATTAGTTGGGGAGGGTTTCATCTTTCTTTGGGGGTGGAGAAAACAGGTAACTCAATCTCATAAGTGCTAGAGTCCCTGCAGGAAAGGAACTGAGACCTTCCTTGGGAAAGCAGTAACAGTCCTGCTAGCTCAGTTGCCAGCCGGACTGCAAGAGGTGGTGTGGGGTTTTGAGCGGTATGGCCCGAAGACATGTCCCAAAATCTGTGGCCTTGTTTTGGTTTGATGGGTCAGTTTCCAACAAAGATGAGCAAACAGATCGCATAGTTTGCTTTTGGTAGCCACACCAAAAGTGAAGGAGATCTAGCTTGTAGAAGAGGTATAGTCTCAAAAATTTATTTTAGTTGCTTTCACTTACTCGTTAAATAAGTCATAATAGGTCTAGTGGAACATTAAACAGTTTTCACACTAGGGAAGGGATTTTTTTTTTTTTTAGAAAATGATTTCTGGGATCCTGCTGTTCTTTTAAAGTGTTTGTTTGCTGGGAAGGGGAGGTTTTAATTTTCTTGTAAAAGTCTTTGTGCTTCTTTATTTAGTGCTTGATAAAATTCATGCTATCTTCTCTTGGATAATTATTTCTTTTGAATAGTAACTGTTAGCTTTAGTAGAGTAGGGTTTATTTGATATTTATGGGAGAGCCAGTAATGAGGTAGAGCAAATACTCTGATGTTTTGCACCATTTTATTGTGGCTGCCTTAAGAGTTGATAGTTAGAAAAGGACCTGCTGTATTAAAGGAGTTGACTAAGGAACTTTTATCAAACCCTGCTTAGTGAACTGGATTGTGGTGTCATTATTGTACTTCCTGAATATAGGTCAAGTTTTAATCAGACTGGTGTTTTGTGTGTTTTAGGTATTGAGGGTGATTTATCTCTTGCATCATGCGTGAATACAAGCTAGTGGTTCTTGGTTCTGGAGGTGTTGGAAAGTCTGCTCTGGTAAGTATGAGGCAGTTCAAGTATGGCTTTTTTAGGCTTATTGTGTTTCTTTTCTCTAATTCACTCTCTACTAACATGTATTTCTTTATGTAAATGTGCACAAATAAATATAAGTGTTAGTAATGCCCAGTGAGGCACCATGGATAGTAGGTAGATCCTTTACTGGGTGCATCTGCATCCATTGGTGCATTGTCACATGCTGCTGTTGTTGTATGGGTTTGGTTGATGGTGCTTGATCAGTGCAGTGAGGTGCAGAGCTATAGCATTATTGGGGTGTCTAGCTTTGACAGATAAGCCAGCTATCAGTCTGTGGGAAATCAAGCTCCTTTGTGAATCTCTCAAAGGATATGAACTAGCTTGCCCTTGTAAGTCTTGTCTCTAGAAAGGTCTTCAGGGTGCTGTTTGCTTAGTGTTTGATAGCAGTGTCTTTAGCACTAATATTTTTATGCAGATAGAAATACAGATTTGCATGTTAGTGGGAAGCTTAATGTGTTTGCTGCATATAGCTGTGGCAGGTAGATGATTAAAATGCAGGAGCCTTTTTATTTACAATTAAATGATTACAGAATGGTTTAGTTTGACCTAGACTAGAATTGAAAAAGTTCACAAAATATTATGTTCTCAGTCCACCTAAGAACTTTGCAACTTTCCATTTACTTGTGCACCTTACCATAAAGTGAGCTCCAGAGCTTACCTTCTCCCTTGAGTCAGAAATATTGTCTTACACAGCAGTTCATAAAGAAAAATTTAAATGACAAATCATGTTAGGTTGTGAAATAATGTTTTCGTTCACCTTTGAATTCTTTATCTCACTGCAGCATTTCTGGATTTGAATGTGCCTGCTCTGACTTGGCCATTGAGTCTTAAGTTCCATTTGACTTGTGCTAAAAGCGTCCTTCATGCTAGGTACACAGGAACAACCTGCTGAGTGTAGTTAAGACTAGTAAAAGCTGGCAGTTGTTTTTTGACTAATTCCTGTGCTGGCAGATAAGTAGCAGAAGATAAAGTAGTTCTAAATAAAAATGTAAGCTGTGAAGCTGTATTGTATGCTGGTCAACTAGAAACTAATACTGATTCTAAGAGTTGGGCAAACCTTAAATCGATGCATGCTTTAATTCTTATCCTCCTTCTGGCAGTGGTTCAAGGAAAGTGTAGCATTGCTTCATCTAACAGTTAAATAGGCATACAAATCTAACTTTCTGTTGTTTCTTGCAATTATAGTTATGACAATTGTTTGATTTGCTTTAAAAATGTTATGGATAACACAGTATGCACCTAGAACAGTGATTTGTGTACAATGTTTACAAAATGTCACTATGCAAGAGAATCTTACGAGAACTTTTATGTTGCAGACTGTACAGTTTGTTCAAGGAATATTTGTTGAAAAATACGATCCTACGATAGAAGACTCCTACAGAAAGGTATATACAAAAGATGTCTCTAGTGTTACGGACACTTAAAGCTGTAATATATTGTCAAATGTTTGAGTCACTGCTTGAAAAAGGGTATGCCTCATAATGCCATACTAAACCAGATAACAACTTTGAAATAAAATGTTCTCCTCAAGCGTGTTTAAAAGGAATAATTCAAGACGTTTAATATTCAAGCTTTTTAACATTTAAGCATAATATCTTGCTGGCTAGTCAGTAAAAAATGGTTGTTTCTTTGTCAGAGTTGTGAACAGGGATTGCAAAAAATATTTTTAAAATTACCACTTTTCAATTTTTATAATATTTATTATTAGTTTTTTTGTGTGTTAGTATTTGCAGGTACCCTTAGAACACTGGAGGCATCTATCATACTGTGCTCATAACAATTTAAATGATAGCTAGATATGCTTCCATTAGATGGGTTGTTGTTTTATTAATAAGTTAACACAAACCTGTCATAAATGAACAAGCATTTACAGCACGTGGCCTGTTAAGTTTCTCTCTTCCTGTCTTCAGCATGTCAGGCTGAAAGGTCTGATTCTGCTTGCGTCATCTTGAATCTCCATATTGCTCACTCTTCAGTTTCAAGTGAGACCACGATTAAGATTCCAGACGAAGATAATTTATATCTAAACTGCTAACATTAACCATTTAGTGCAAGAGATAAGTTTTTGGCTGTGTCAGTTTCTTAATCTGTCTTTTTTAGCTGAATTACTTTTCATATGGATTAATACCCTGATGTTGTTCATCATGTGACCAACAAAAATGTTGGTGTCTATACAAAGGAGGAAAGATGCACAAACCCTAGCTGAGAATGGGCAAACTACAAGACCTCCTCTTTCAGTGCTGAGCTACATTTGTATTGGAACAGAGGTGGTGCATTAACAACTGTTGCAGCCTACAGTCACCAGAATCTTTTCTGAAGAGGAATTAGTGAGAACAAAATAATGATTTGAAACCTCTTTTCTCTGACCTTGTATAAACTGTATGTTGGAAAAACCCAAGTCCATCTTGAGTATGGGGGCTTCCAGCCAAAGCTAGGAACTCTTACTAAGGACACAATAGCAGAGCCAAATTCTATGTTGACACTTTTTATTTATTAGAGCAGCAGGAATTTTTGACCATATCTCAGTGTTTGGTGCAGGACTTTGCTGGGTCAGGCCCAGTAAATTACTCCTAAGAACATTCACAGGCTGATCTAAAGTAAAGTGTTTCCGTTGTTATATATTTACATTCTTTAGGTCATAGTAGAGTTTTGATGTTTGCTGGGTGAATTTTTCCAAAGATTCTTTCCATGAAGCCTAAAAAAGTAATGCCATCTTAAGAAATTTTGCTGTTTGCTAACTACATTTTTTTTTTGTTGCTGCTAATAAAGATTTATAATATTCCTTTCAGGTTTGTTCCTGAAATAACTAGTAATAACTCTGGGTATCCTTCTTTTCAAATCAACCAGATTGTTGAAGTCTTGCTGAAGTCTGGACAACACTTCATGTAGTCATTTTCACCTTTTCACTGTTAATTACAATTCTAACTTGCTTCTTGCCTTCAAAATGTATTAGTTTGGCTGTTAAAATTATATGTTTTTATGCTAAATATAATTTTATAATATTTAAATTTGAGAGGATGTGACTTGTTTGTCTAAATAATTGAGCTTGAAATCTTGAAACTTTATGCCTTAGTTTACTCCTCAAATATTTCTTCATAAAGTAAATAAATGCAGCTTAATTAGATTAATAACTTCAGCAACAATACCTGTTTAAAATAGTGATTATTTTTAAGGAATCACAATCCATAGGTGACGGGGCAGGCGTGAGAGATGGGGAAATACTCCTCTTCCCTGTCCCCAGCTCAAATCTAGTTACAGAACAGCTGCAAGTTAAGCTAGTGACAGTGTATAAATGGAGAAGGGGTAATCTGTTAATTAGGAATTTTACATGCAAATGGAAACAAGAGAAGTTTACCAATAGCTTGAAAGAAAAAAGAATTTTTTTTAAATATGGGTAGTCTGCTTGAAACAGGTTGAGGGCACTTCCATATTCTTTGCTGCCCTCAGGGCCATTTCTTTGAGGTATGTCCAGCAGATAGAGGAACTCTGGAATGAATACAGAAATTGTTCTGTCTTCTTAAACCTTCCATTCTTTGCAAACTTTTCTAAGCTGGGTCAGTTTTCTAATTAGTGTTCCTAAAAGCCTGTTTTGGGGACACCACTTTTAGTGGTGGCTGTTTGTTTGCTGTGTACTACTTACTCTCTTGCAGATGTACATTACTGTTAAATGAACTTTAGTATGCCAATCCCGTTTTCTGGCTTTCGCTTGTACTTCTCTTTCAATCTGTGATGATCCCTGAAACAAGTAGAAATTAATTGTGCTAGTTGCTGATAACCATCATTACAAATTTAGTAGCCTCCTTTTAAATAATCAAAAATCCCTAATCACTTTGCAAAGTGGTAGTTGGCTGCTGACACTGCATTTGAAAATGTCACTGGGGCTCTTTGAAAGGCTTCTTCCTGCTGTTTTCAAAGTGTATATCCATACAATCTTCTTAAGCCATTATGTTGCTTTATGCATTATGAATTTACTTATAAAAATCACATAATTTCTGATGTCTTTGGAGGGGAGAGTTGCAAGGGGAAAAATTATAACCCCATCTTTCTCTCTTGACAGCAAGTTGAAGTAGATGCACAACAGTGTATGCTTGAAATCTTAGATACTGCAGGAACGGTATGTAAAAAACAACTTTACTGATATACAGCGTATTTTAAAAAAACCTTGAGTATTGCAGCAGAAAATTAATTGCAAGTTTCCCATGAGCTCATATTCTGTAATAGGGGAAAGAAATAGAGCATTTAAAAAGAGATTGTGCTCTTGTTTTAAGTTTGTTGTCCAGAAAAAAATTAGGACCCACTGACCACTGAGATTTGATTTCTGTTGCTGCAGAGAATACGTGCTTTCTTCTGATGTCCTTTTTCTTTTGTGTGTGAGATGTACTGTGACATTGGGATAAAAATAGTATTGCTTCCGTCAGCTTATAGGAGCTCAATTCACAAGGGTTATGCTGACCCTTTGCATACTGGTCAGGTTTTTCTCTGACTAGTTCAAAAATTACTGAAACTAGTAATTTCCTTTATTGATTCCATTGAGTTTAAGCTCAAGGTTCTTGGAGTTTAACATGTGTCCTCTGAAGTGAGGCAGTAATCTAGCACAATAGTAACTTACTTAAATTCCCTATTAGATTAATACTCTGTAAATGTACAGTACGATGGAGTGGCTGATTTCTAGCAATAAATTGCACTTTTCATCTGACATACAACAAGGGACAGGGAGTGGTTATCACTCACCACTAGGTGAGTGCACCAGATAGCCAAGTCACCAGTGTGAAAGAGGCACATGCCATTCTGCAGTTGTACTGGTAAGAGTGCACCACCGAGTCTTTATATGCAATATCATAGTTGGCACTGAAGTCATGAAAATGTGACAAGTCTATTGAGTGTCTCCATCCTCTAGTCCATCTCCTTGAAAATTAATGTAGAATCTAACAGGAAATTTCCTAGACTACAAAATTGGGTGTGAAAAGGGATGCATTCACTTTATGATCCATTTTAAGGAACTATCAGAATATGGAGAAAATGTTGGTGTATTAGAAGAGATTCAGGAGCAGTTTAGCTTCTGTAATCTACAGATTACAGTGTACCTTCTACTGTACTGCTCTCCAGTGAAATTACTCTAGTTTCTCTAAACTAGACCTAAAGTTTATAGCAGTTTGTGCAAGTGAAATGCAAATTGAATGCAACATCTGTATCTTTTTTGTAATTACAGGAACAGTTTACAGCAATGAGAGATCTATACATGAAAAATGGACAAGGTTTTGCATTAGTATATTCCATCACAGCTCAGTCCACATTTAATGATTTACAGGATCTAAGAGAACAGATTCTTCGAGTCAAAGACACTGATGATGTAAGATCTCTAAAATTTTTAATACTTGAAGTTTTCATTAGCGTGTTGCCGTGTACACACTGTGGTCAGGTGGTCTCCAAGTTTTAAATTAAGATGTATGAACCAGTAGATGTGTAGTTCAGAAATGCAACTCTTAAGGTAAACTGGAGAAATGTAAATTGTCATGTGTTAGATGAAGAATTGTTTAATCTTTCTTTAAAATACCTTAATTGAAACTGGGTATAACTTTGTTCATTAGACCTGCAGGAGGCATTTCTAAAGCAACTATTGTTGCTTTACTCTGAGTGAAGTTTTCTGCTCAGTATCCCTACTGTTGATGGTGTTTTAAAAGTATAAAATTTTAAGTTGTAACATTAAAACTTGCATGTTATATAGCTTTTATATTTTGTCTGTCTGCTCACAATTTTGGTCATCCTATTTCCACACAATTTCTATTATGCAACTCTTAGCATTATTAAAGCTATAAAGTGAGGTTAAAACATTATATTTTATCAATTATTAAAATAATCTTACAGCAGTTGGAGGAAGTGAATGCTTGATCCCCTAATAAAGGAAAATAAGTATTTCAAATGTGAAAGCAGCAGTAAGAGTGTGTTTTTAACAGAAACACTTTGTAGCTTTTAGCCTTCAGGCAGAAAAACTACCTTCTTGAAGAAAAAAATAAGCAATGAACAGTTTGTAAGTGTAATCATATCATGTAAACAGTGTTTATGCTAATTTTGATAACTTTGATAGATTCCTTAACTGCATGTATCTGCACAGGTTTCTGCTGTCAGCATTTCAGTTTCAGGGAAGTGTATTAGGATTTTTTTAATACAAACCACTTTGCACTTCCTTGACCGTAAGCTCTTGCAGGTCTTGCCTATGTTCAACAGATTTCTTCTTGAAGCAATTCGTTACCCATTACCGCAAATGTATCTCAGAAGGTTAATATTTAAGTTTGCCATCCACAACCTACCAAGTTACAGCCTTCTTTACCATGAAATTAGCTTTGTACAATAAAATCAAGATAAATGTGATGATATTTAAAATCTTACTTCGTGTGTTGTATTTACACTGATTAGTATCATTTTGGAGGTATTTCCTTAGAATTGTATTTTTTTAGAAGACACTGTCCTGAAAGGCATTCCATAATATCAGGAGAAAGATAGCAAGCTTCAAGTTGCAAGTTCAGTTTCCATAAGAACTTACAGAAAAAGTTTTTCTTATGCCCAAGCTTAGGCATAACTTGATTTCTTAGTGGTGGGAAATTAAATGGTCAAAATATTGTAAACCTTTTTTCAACACTTGAATCTGTGAGGACTTTAGTTATGTCCTTAAATTAGAAAAAGAAAGGAAAGGGTAAAAAATAGATGATGACTTTTTTTGCTACAAAGGTCAATTCAACATTGTCTGTAGTTGGGAATGCTGGTATGGTAGTATGTTCCTTTTCTCGGTGTGCTGTAGCTTGCTAATAAGAACTGTGTGATATGCTGAGAGTAGAGGAATGATGAAAGGAGCTTTAGCATCCTTCATCATGCTACTCAGGACAGGACACTGTTTCCAGGATTTTGGAATTTGTAAGAATCATTTGTAAATTCTTCAGTAGACTTCTTGATGCCTCAAACACCTAAAAATGAAATCTCATTAGGTTCTCTAAAAAAAATATTAAATTTGCTCAATTGGCAGTGTATTGAATCCTAAAACCATTCCCCTTATTGCCCTCCCAAAATGCAGTCACTTTGATTTGAAGATTAAAATATCACACAGCTGTTAAACTTAAGTTTCAGTTATACCAGGGCTTGATTATTCTGAAAATTAGGATCCTCTAAGGAATCCGATGGCTTTTAGGTGTGCCTTTACACTGTGCCGCGATAAAATTCTAATTGTTTCTTTGCTGGTGCTGAATTGTTTTTTAGGTTCCTATGATTCTGGTTGGCAATAAATGTGACTTGGAAGATGAAAGAGTTGTGGGAAAGGAACAAGGTCAGAACCTAGCAAGGCAATGGAATAACTGTGCATTCTTAGAGTCTTCTGCAAAATCAAAGATAAATGTTAACGAGGTAAGGCATTTTACCTGTGGTGGGGAGAGGTGTGGGGGTAGAAGAATGGGACACTGTCCTGATAAGTGTTTACTGTTTGTCAAGGAAAAACTAACAAAATCATTAATAATATTCACTACAATGGACAAAACTGTACCCTGCTGGTGTGAGATGTTTGTTAAGGGATGTATTTAGCTTTGACTTGGAATTTTTTCAAATTATAATTGATTTTAGTATAATAAGTGTAATTTTCAAATTATCTTTGTAATAATTTAGGATAAATATTTCTCTCATGTTCCATTCCTTAGTTGCTACACTCTCTTACCAATTGAGATTGTACTGCTAGACTTCTTTCTTTAAAGACCTTTAAGAGAGTTAAGTCACTAAAACTACTTGATTTAAGTTACTTGGTGTTAACACTATTTGAGATGGTAAATACAAAAACTATTGAATGTTTTGTTAAAATTAGCTGCTCGGTAAAGTGAAAGGGATGCAAAAGCCTCTCTACTATATATCTCCTTGTTTGTTTAACAGGAGCTAGACAATTAATCAAATGCATGAATTTTGGGGATTTGCCATAATGCATGCCTTTTCATCCAGTGGGGGCTGCCAGCATGATGAAAGGGATACAGAAAATTTAGAAAAATAAGCTGTGTTAGTATTTACATTTCTGGAACAGCTTGAATTTTATGATAAATCTTACAGTTCATTAGGTCATCTGGAAAACATTGTTGGCAGCATCAGTGAAGTTGAAAGGGCCTCTGTGCTAGACTTGGAAGTAATCAAAACAGTATGGTGGTTTTAACACAGCTGATTTTTAAAATAAGTAATGTGCATTTAATTAGGTGGAAATTTCTGGAAGTCACTGACTTTTTAAAAAATTCGAATTAATCACTGTAACTGTATAAAAGTCATACATTCAATAAACTAGAACTTCCAGCAAATACTGTAAGCCCTTCTTGGAACATTTGCTGCTTTGCAGACAATGCTTAGGAAGGTGCCAGGATGGCTTTAGCATGAGGGCTTCCTTAGTTTATGAGATGCAGAAGTAATTGGAGCAATGTCAATTATGAATGAAACAGATGCTGTTAAAACGTTCTATGTTGATTTGTTTTAAATTAGCCTTTTGAAAAAATAATGTTCTCATTAGAATTCTAGGAGACTCAAAATGTGAGGGTAAATGAGTTACTTTGCTAGGAAATTTTATGTTTCCGTCATGCTGTAGGTCTAGAGAGGTGGAATTAGTTCTTTAGACTTCAGTATTTTTTAAGTTTCTGGAAAAGCATGATCTCATTCAAGTACAAGAGACTATTACTGAATATGTAGTGTATGTGAGTTACCATGAAAAATGTGTAGTTAAAACTTACTAGAATTTTCTTTAAAAAAATATCCTAAGAGTGACTTGAGTTAGAAGAAAGCTGTGACCTGTTTCTTGACCTTACTGCTAAACTGCAAAGTAATACTATAGTGTAGTTGATCACTGTGGCATTTTTCATGTGAGTTCAGATGAGTTTGACCCAGAGATTAAATAGCTGTGGGTTATAGATGCCTTTCCAGTTTGCTCCATTTAAACTGTAGAACCCTTGGCAGACAATTATCTTAAGCAAGAAAGAAAAAACCAGCCAGTTATTAACTAAGTATACAATTTATAGCTTTGTGGTAACTAAATATTTTCAGGGGTTCTTGAGTATGTGAGTGCACTATGTGTGAAAATTCAAGGTTTAAGGTTTTAAGAGAAGCCTCCTAATATCCATAATCAACTGATTTCTATCTTTTCAGATCTTTTATGACCTTGTGCGACAAATTAACAGAAAAACTCCAGTGCCTGGAAAAGCACGCAAAAAGTCATCGTGTCAGCTACTTTAATGCATAGCTGTACTGTAGCTCTGAGCCAGGTAAACATTTTAAATTTTTCTGTGCATTGTGGCTGTTATTCAAAACAAGCAAAATAACAACTAAAAAACACTAAACAGCTCTGGTAGCTGTTGATGCAGAACAGCACTGAAAATTATTGATTTAAATTATCGTAGAAATGTTTAATGGTCTTCCTTTTGCCATTTCAAAGTCAGAACTACAAATATGTGCAAAACACACTGTTCGCACTAGTCTGGGAGGCTTTTTCTCAAGCTTTAAGGTTTTGGTAGAACTCAAATTAAGAGTGTTTCCTCTGATACTTCAAGGCTTTTGGAAACATCGTTTTCTCTTTTAAGCCTGATAAAATCTACTGTAAGAGCTCAGTTATCGGGAATGCAGACAGTACAATATTGTAGTTTGCATGCTGGTGTCTCTGCTTTGAACTCCTGCATATGCTTGTGTGATGTCATAGGAATTTAGCTTCCTTTCTTGAGACTCTCTGGATATTTTGGAGGCCAAAGTGTAATCAGTATATTTGGATGAGAAAGGTGAAGTGATCATTGTAATACTCCAAATATTTCACCTGAAGCTATTGGTTACTAGATCAATTTCTTACTTGTTTGCAGTTGGCTGAATTTTTACATGATTAATATGTGCACAAAGAATGGTGCTGAAGGATAAAGCAAGCTCCAGCCTGCTCTTTAAGCAAGCCTTTCCAGAAGTTAGTCAGGAGGCATGGATTTTTTTTTCTGCAAATTTTTTGGGGGATTTGTGGGCAAGTTGTTTTCCACTTTCTACCTCCAAGCCTTAGTATAAGCGGAGGTCTGTCTTGACTGACCTGACATCATCAAAGTTGCCTGTTACCTGCCTTTCCTTCAGTGTTATTGAACATGCAGTGGTGCAGTAATTTCAGTGCTGTGGTCCGTTATTTTTTCATCCAGTACATACTGAGGGATCCTGGTAGGACATCTCACTGTCAGAAATTGTAGGCTCTTTATTACTAATCATGTAGTACCATATGTAACTCTTTTTTGGTGTATTAAAACCTCCTCAGTTTGAACAACTTAGATCAGTTAAAAGTAAAACTAAGATGGTTCCGAAAGCATTAGCTGAGGGTGGCAGAAATGGTTGTTCCCTGTCCTTAACAGGACTTTTGATTCAAGAGCTTTGATCCTTCAATTCTGTTTGTCTTCATAGCCATGGGAATTGTCATGCTGTAAGCAAAACTAGTCCCATCAATCAAATATTACTTCCACAATGCAGCCTGGATTCTTCTATGTATCCTAAGGCAGTTAGGATAGTAATTGAGATAATGTGTTATTTGTATGTGTACAGTAGGAAGTGTATGATTAGAGAAGTGTTACGGTTGTTTTCTGTTTGTCAAGAACTTTGCTAGCTCCTGCTGTAGCTGTTTTAAGTAAAGAACGAGGACAAATAGTTGTTACTAGTGCTAATCCCTTGTTTTGTTGTTACAGGTCTGAAGAACTGTTGCCCAATTCAACAGTGCCAGCATTCCAACTTTATTAAACCTACCAACATCTTAAATGGACTTTCCTGTGGTGGTACCCTTTAAGAAATGGATGAAAGCTACATCAGTTTGCACATTCTATCACTTTCCAGTGTCATGAGAGATTTTTACTTCTAAATATTCTGTGTATGCAACTGGTAAAACCAGAGCCTACATCCAGTATTACTGATAAGAGACATTGTTCATCCACCAATGTTGTACATGTATGAAAACTGTGTACTGTATACTTCAACAATCCCCACTTTCTATTGGAGAGTACAATAATGTAAATCCTAAAAGCACCACTATTTTAGCATAATAAAAGAAAGTCCAAAGAGCTCCTATATAGACTACTCCAGATAACTTTGCTTCATCGGTATTTGTAGCTTATTGTAACTTTTTTAAAGAAATACAGGATCATCATCATCATCGTATTGTACAAAAGCGCTTTGATTAACACAACGGCTATATAGTTTTTTAATTTTAGGAAAAAACCTGTGGAGACAGTGACCTAGTCTTTAAGAGTCCTTTCAGTATAACGTCTGACTAAAGACATGGCCTTTAATATCTGTTGGGAAGGAAATGTCCAGACTTTTCAACCTTTTATTGTATGTTTCCTTTTCCTTGTTTACATAGGGAACAATGTTTATAGTTGTGTGTACAGTGGGGGTCTACAACAAGAAGTGTATATTTTAAAACAATTTTTTAATGATTTAACAATTTTTTGTAAATCATTTTTGGGCTTCTGCAGCTGTAGATTCTCACTGTGAATTCCCTTGCTTGCTCATGCATAAGTGTATTTGCAATACCAAATATACAGGTTTAGTACTTTTGCCTGTTAGTGATTGTTTTACATGTGTAACGTTTTGGTTGAGATGTTAAATGGTGGAAGAGTACTGTGGATGTGAATGTGGGAAGTAATTTTAATCATGTGTAATTGGTCACAGGGCCTAAGTTGCAGTAATTAACTTTTGCTGATTTATTTAACAATGCCTTGTTGCTTTGTATGCATTAACGTTTGGGTGTAAAGATTGTGTGTATATCCAACAGGGAGCCACAGTATTTAAATTGACCAACCTAATGTTACAACTGCTTTGAGGTGGCCAAATGTAAACTAAAAGCCTTAATTAAAGTGGTGCAATTTTGTATGACTTAGCATCAGTAGTTCAATAAATTTGGATTGCCATGCAAGGGCTTGCATTACAGTTACACTACTTGAATGTTTTGTGTTTTAGTAGTGCTAGTAAATATTGATTTTTACATCTCTTGCACAGTGCAGATTCATACATCTTAGGATGAAGAGGAGCCCCTGTGTCTTTGTTTTCTGACAAATACATGCCATAGATATTTCTTCTAATAGTATCCCATGTGTTAGTGTGAATGAATTTCTGACTGAATGAAATTCCATTTATTTCTGGACTTGGAATATGCTAAGCTCTAACAAAAGGAAACATCTAAGAGAAAAATACCTGTCTTCAAAGGTTACACTATCAATGGCTGTTTTGGAAACTTGAAAATATGTTGCCTGTTATTTTCCTTCTTTTCAGGGAGAATGAATTGTTAGAATTTACTTAGTCCAGCAAAAAAAAATTATCTTGGGAGACAGAATGATTTTTCTGCATGAAAGCTATATCAGTTTGCACATTCTATAACTTTCCATTGTTATGAGAGATTTTTACTTCTAAATATCTGCATGAACCAAACCTTATTTCTTTGATCTTAAGGAAATCTGCAGAAGAGCATTCTTGCAGTATGGAGTGTAGAATTTTGCCAACTTGAAATACCTGTTAATAGTGTTGGACAGAGAAGTGGAATGCATGGACTGTAGATGATTTCCTGATCTTGGCCGTGCTGCTGGAAATTAATGTCACACCCAAATCCTTGGTACCTCCTGTTTCTCTGGCACAGAATTATCAGAGAGCTGGTTCTAATTCATTCCTGCAAATTCAATCAGATTAGGTTAGCTAATACTGGTAAGCTTTGAGATAGTTTATGTTGCCCAAAGTGAATTAAGAAGCCCAGCTGATCCTTCCTGCTGGTAGTTTCATTAGTCATCACCATTGTTTAATGTAGGTAATATACTTCTACTGTGCAGAGACAGATTTAAGATTGAAATTCCTTTTCATTTATCATTAGAAATCTTAAGATGTGATTATCCCCAGCCTGCTTGGTCCCCAGAGTAAAGGAGACTGGAGCACTAGATGCCCTAGTTCTTTTTTCACAAGGTACCTACCTTCTTTGGTGAGCTAATGGGAATTTTTCATCCCTTCATTTCCAACCTCTACTTATTCAGGGCTTGTAACACTTTTATGTCCTGGCTGTCCTTTTATTGGTCTTTTTAATGTGTTTCTTTTCCAGGCAGCTGTACAGGTGGCATTGGGTGGGAGTAAGAGCTAATTCTTTTGAGAACATCATAGAAGGGGCCTTGGTCTGGTCTTGGTATCCAGCCAAAGAATACTATTACAGGGAAGATCAGGCTTTGTCCTGAAAAGCTCTGTACTGAAGTATTCTTGGTGGTTCTGTTCTTCAGCATTAGAGGTATTCAGTTGGATCAAACCCTTAAGGAAGTAAAATTTTCAGAATCCTAGGCTTTAACATCTGAAGATTGTGCTAAAGAAGGGAAATATGTTCCCCCCTGTCCTGTATTTAGAACTTATGTCAGATGTGTAAAGCCAGCACACTGTAACCTAGGTAACACCTAAACCCCGGTATTCTTGAAAATTTAGGCAAGCTTCAAGGGAGCAGTGTCCCAGTTGTTAAAGGGAAGATGCTTGACAAAATGTTGCTAATGAAATTATGAAGTTAAACACATTAGAATTCTCTTCATGTCTAAATAATTGTGATGTAAAAAGCTGTTCCCACTGAGGAAGTGAGCACCCAGTTCCCCATGGGAATTGGAACAATGTAAGCAGTTACCAATTGTAGAAAAAAATCCTGTCTGCTGACATTTTTGAGCAAACTGCTACGTATCTTCAAGACAATTCCATTATGTACCAATGCTTAAGAAGTTCACACTTGAACTACTTGTACAGAAACTGAACACTTCTAAAGCTTTGGATGAAAACCTGCATAACTCACATTTTGAGAATTAATGCAGGCATTTTTGCAAATTTGGTGTTAATACACGTGTGTAACTGCTTGTAAAGTTAGCTTATGCTTACAGTGCACACTGCTTTATTTCCTCTCTAATCTGAAACTGATATATGTCAGTATTTAAAGTCTGAGCCTTCTATGGAAAAAGTAGTATTTATGTCCTGAAATACAGAAGTATTATTTAATGGAATTGCACTCTTCATATTAGGACTCTTTCCTTGCAATATAAATTTCTCTTGTATCTTACCTTATCCTAGTGTCCTTTTTCATTCTCGAAGTATTTTGTGAAATGAATATTACCTGCCTAATTTACAAGACTATTTTGAGACATTGCAAGATGTTTTCAGGTGTCCAAATGAATTAAGTGTAAGCTCAAACTACTACTGCTCTCCTGCATAAGAGACTTAAATTCTTGAAAAGTATTGTGGAGTTAGATATTACAGTTCTTTCATAAGACGTACTGATTCTGTGGTGCTAGAAATGAAAGGTGGCAGAAGTTTGAAATTGGGATTAAAATTTTTAAGTAAAATTGCAGTTTTCTTGCGGGTCAACAGTAAAAATGAGAATTTTTCTTCTTTTAAAATGGTGTCAACAAACTGGATGAATCAAACATAATGAATTTTTTTTCCCAAGTTTTCTAATCTTGGGAAGAAGCTTGACCACAATACTGTACTAGTTCTAGACAGACTTCACTTTAGACATATCAGCAGTAGAAAGTTATACTAGATGTAAATGGTCAAAAATAGTCTAAGTACAGCTATGTAGCACTTTTTAAATTGTAATCTGCTTATGCAGCCAAGTGTAGACAAAAAGCTTTTTTGTTCAATTTTATACTGCTGTTCCAACAGCATTAGGCTATATTTCAATTTATTGCTTTTATTTTGCCTGTGTGGGGAGGAGAATAAAGACAAATAAAAAGTTTATTAAGTATATAACAAAACGCAGTCATAAGTTGTTCTCTAAGGTAGCATTAAAGTACCAGAGTTATTAAATTAGGTTTTTATTTCTGAATCTAAAGCATGTTATGCTTTTCTTTCAAAAGCTTATGCACAATTTGAAGATTTCTAGAACCTCATCTACGATTTCCATTTTATAAAGTAAACTCTGGAATGGTACTTATATTTGTGGAAAACTTTACATTCAGAGTCTTGAACTAAAAGATGAGCAAAGTTGTTTTGTAGTCTTGATTTTGTTCACAGTATTTCAACATCTGGGCTTCAAACAACATGTAAATGTGGATTTTGCTGTTTTCTGTGTTTGGGGCTTTTGGGGGGTTGTTTGTTTGTTTGTTTTAAATAACCTCCAAAACCATTTATTTTCAGAAGTTTGAGTCATCAAGCAGAGTGGCTTCCTGTTTTCAAAGAGTTGTTCTTTAGGGAGAGATTTGTGAATGGATAAAAGAATTGTCTTTGCACTTCCACCGTACTCACTTCAGTCTCAAGAGATCCTAGTTCTGCTAAACAACAAACGCTACAGCTTCACTGTTTTAAGAAAGTTCACTACCACCAGGATTTTTTTTTCTTTGAAGTTGTGACTGGGGTGAACTTCATTTCAGAATCATTGTCATTTCTAATTAATTAATGTAATGTCTTTTGTTTACCGTGAACTTGGAGACGTGGGCCATTTCTGCAGTCTTGAATACTGAGTGAAATCCTAGTGGATGTTACAGTTCCTTCTTTTGTCAGTATACTTTACCTTTTCATACCATGTGGCATTTTAATCTTCCAAATCTAGTAGGGAGGGCTCCGTAGCTTCACTCCCATACTAAGTACAAAAAAATCTCTACATGTGAAATTCCAGCTCTCATCAACTGGGTTTACTGCTTGTAATGCACCCAATAGCAACAAAGACCCTTGGCAGTACTGTCATGAGTTTCAGACACAAATAAAATGAGCTACAAATTTGTCTCTTTCTTTTTCCTGTTTAATTAATAAAATGGTTTTAGCTGAGTTGCCTCAATAGAAAGAGCATAAGAATCAATTTGTCTTAGTAAGAACCTGAGCAAACATTTTGAGAGTCAACATGTATTTAAGTACTATGCAATCACACGAACACTGTACTTAAATTCTTGATATTGGTTTTTAAAAACCATGCATTTAAATTAAAAAATTTAAATTTACATACTTCCAGGAATGTGTTTCAGCTAAGAAAAGATGGGCTAAAACATGAACTTTTTGCTTCTCCTATGTAAAGGCAAGGTATAGTTTAGTTTCCAGTTTTCTTGGTACTGAATGTAGTTGTGCTGCTGTCACACATTGCACTTGAACTTTGTTGAGCTCTTACTTTTTGTAATTCTGAATTAACAATTTTGTATATGCAGATGACATGTACGCAGCTTAGCAGGGCATTAAGAAAATTTATTTAATTTATGAGCTGTCTTAAAACGTATTTTGTAAAGGGGTAATTGGAGTTTTGGGTTTACTTGTTTAAAGTTTAGGATATACTAGATCAAAATTAACCTACTATATCCTGTAGGCTCTGTTAACTTTGCAGAAAGGCACTAGGATGCAGAGGAGCCTTAGGCATTGGCAATAAATCCGCCAGGTTTCAGTGCCACTTGTGCTGGCTCCAGGGTCACTTTTGATTGTCCTGCCTGTAAGGAGCATTGCTACCTCCCTTGATGTTATGTTAACAGCTGGAGTTAAGATCAGTCTATCTGATCCAAATATGTGAAACTTCAGGACAGATGTAAGAATTTTAATGATAAATTTGAATTTAGAGTCCTTTATATCACAGACTAAAAAAAAATGCATTCTCTTCTGCTTCTTGGAAGCATAAGATGCTTTAATGAGATTTTCAGGGGTTTTTTTCTTCATTCCCCCCCCCCCCCCCCCCATTTCTGTCTTGGTAGCTAAATATTAAATGGGATGCCAGTCAAAAAGTACTGAAACACACCTCCAGGCTTTTATCCAGTTCCCCCTGGAGCCTCTAAGGTGTTTCCCCAGTCTGCACTTAGGAGAGGCTGTACATTCTAAGACAAGTTCTCTTAAAGGCCCCAATCGTTCATATACTTTTACAGGTTTGTTGGGTTGGGTTTTTTGGTTTTGTGGGGTTTTTTTTGGTTTTTTTTTTGTTTTGTTTTGTTTTGTTTTGTGTTTTGTTTTGGTTTTTTTTTGTTGTTGTTGTTTGTTTTTTTCTTGAAGTATGCATTCTTCCCTCTTAATTTCTTTTCAGACTTATTTCCTTTGCTTTGTTCTCATCTGTCATCGCTTTGAATAAACTTGAGACAGCACACAAAGGAAGCATCTGCTCTGTCTTCATTACATTTCTCACTTGTTTACTCTCTGCCCTGAGGCAGGGCTAGCCTGAGGGTGTGAGCTGTTAGCAAACGATTGAACCAGATACTGATCTGTGCATTACTCTGAATTTCCCACTGCACTAGAGACGATAACAGTACACTGTTTCAGTAGGCTATGTTGAGAGGTAAAGTCTATTCAGTATATAGTACTGAACTAGGATGTAATAATTCCTTAAACACTTTTAGTTTTCTATCCTCCTGAAGGTTGTTGCCTTTGCTTGTGATTCTCGATAGTCTTCAAGATAGAAGAGCAACCCTTTTTTGTTTGGTTTTTGGTGGTTGGTTTTTTGGGGTGTTTTTAATCCAAAAGTACATTTCCTGAGTGATTAATCTACTCTGCATAGGTCTGCTTGCTTGTGTTTCTGCATACCCTGTGTTCATCAGCTTTCTTCTTGTGAAGCCTTCTGAAGTTAGGCTCTCTGGCAGCTTCAGTGAAACCCTGTGCTTGGGCATCGTGGTATTTTATCAGTATCTCAAGGCAGCTGGAGGACTTCAGCCCATGTCTCGCACTTCTGCTGCCTTTTGCAGCTGTTGTCAGGTGTATCCTTCTGTCTGATTTGCTTGAAGTACCCCATTGCAGCTGTAGCCCTAAAAATACCCAAGTACTTGCAAGTGTTTTTCAGAACTTTCCTGTCTACATGAAAAGATTCAGTTTGGAGACTTTTCCTTGTCCTAGAGTGCAACTAAACGAACCACGGTCAGTTGCACAGTTGTTTGTGCTTAGAAGGTAGTAACAATGTTATTCTGTGGGTAAAAAGTAGGCTGAGTTCAACTAGGGAAGGAAAGGGAGAAGTAATTTCCTAATTCTGTCAAGTTTGTCCAGCCTTGAAGGGTTGAGCGATCCTGTGTGGTGCTTGCTTTACCCTGTAACGTTGGTGCCAGCAGACCGAGTTACACTGGCAGAAACGAGAAAGAAGCGGACGCGCGTTTGCGGCTGGCTGAAGAACTCGTCGCTGCACAGGCCGGGACGGCGGCTGCTCCAGCCGAATGCAGGAAACACTTGGCGCGCCTCATTAGCCCTTTTCTGAGCGCCGAGATAACCGCAATAGCACCTGGCACTTCTACACTACGGGGGTTTTTTTTAAGCTGTGACCCTCAACGCGGGCTGACAGCGGACAGCACCCTGCGGCCGCCCCCGCCGTTCCCGCTCGTTCCCCCGGGCCTGCCGGCGCGGGGCGGGCGGGGCGCATGGGCAGCGCGGGCGGAAGGCGCCCGTGTCCTTCCGGGCCGAGGGCCGGCGCTGGCGGCGGCGGGAAGGCTGAGCCCGGGCCGAGCCGTGCCGGGGCAGCTGCCATGGACAGGTGAGGGGCGGCGGCGGCGGCAGCCCCGGCCCGGGGCCGCGCCGGCCGTGAGACGCGCCCCGGCGGCGGGGAGCGGGCGCGCACAGTGCGGGCTGCGAAACGCAGCGGGCCCGCGGCGGCTCCTGAGCGTACCGGAGGGGTTTTGTCAGCCGGGAGCTTTAAGTCTGGCTGTTGCTTCTTGAGGATATCTTTGGATTAACCCAGAACCGTGAGCTGCCCGGGGGTCGCGGGGCCGGGCTTTGCCAGGCCTGCTGAGGCGTGGTCGTGCTCCACCGGGAGCGGCTCCTGTGCTCCGGTAACAGCGTGGGTGTTTCCCTTGGGCAGGACGAGTGAGCTGTCCCGGTCCGTGCTGAACGCCTTATCCGCAGGAAAAAATCGTGTCGTGAAATCGTGCCGTTCTTTCGACTTAATTTTTCAGTTCAAAATTGGAATTTCCTGCTGTTGCATCTTTTACTAGCCTTCTGTTCTTTCGTTCTTTTTAACAGTAAAATGTTAGTTATGGTGTAGTAGGAACAAAGCTGGGTTTATCCCTGAGCTAATTAGCAGTGCTAGATTTCTGCAGAGGAAGCTGTACATAAGTAGTAAGATTGGAGATGACTTAACGCTTTCAGTTTCTTGGTTGTGGAGTTGCTGTGGCGTGACAGTAGGATCTTGGATGTCCTGCCTGAATTCACTTGCTTGCTTTCTGCGTTGCTGTTTCATAGAAATGGTTTTGAAGACATGTCATCCCCCCACGATCCTGACATGGTCAGACCTGGACGGAAGCAAGGCTCTCAGAAGAGAGTTTCTAGTATCCTTTTCCTAAAGAATTTTTGTCTTTAACTGCTGTGCTCACCAGGTGTGTATATTTTTAAAACTGCTTTGATTTTCCTGGGTGTATGACCTCAGGTGGTTGTCCACCCAGAGCGCTATGTGAGATGTAGCTGACTACATTTCTGAGCTTTTGGAAAAGAAGAATAAGTTTCCTTCATTATATCTTGACTTTATGGGTTTACGCTTATTTGCAGGTATTGTAGTATCAGAGTATTATGGTGATCTTAGTTTTCCATCCACTGTCATAGCAAGAGTAGTGCACATACATAGATTTAAATTTCCATAGAAATTTCCTCCCCCTGCTTTTTTACCCTCCCCACCATGTAGTTTGACAGCTAAGGTAGTGGTATTTTCACGGTTGTGATAGCAAAGGAATCCAGGACATATGGTTGTTCTTTTGGGTTTTGCATCTAAAATAAAGCTAGTGAGATATTTTCCCTGATTATATTGTGCCTAAGAATCAAGATGTTTCTGAATGCTAATAGCACAAGCTACTGAAACCTTTATACAATTACTTCTTAGTAAATCATACCTAGAGCACTGAACCTGGTTACTGGTGGGAAGAAGAAAAGTAGAGCAACAGAGCACCTGGAACTGAGAGAGGGAGCAATCTAGAAATTGCATTCAGCCTCACATTTTCTTGTTGTGGTTGATGTAGCATGAAGCAGCTCCTCATGGGGCAGAAGGATTCTCTTTTGACCTGAGCTGCTGTGAGGAGTCCCAGACCTGTTGTGTTCATATTGTGAACTTCATTTTGTGGT